GAGACTTTGAGTAAAGCACATTAACTTCCATAATGTGGGTGGGCCTCATCCAATCAGTTGAAGGCCTGAATAAAACAAAGACCTCCCCAAGCAGGAAGAAATTCTGCCAACAGACTAGTTTAGAACTTGAACTGCAATTCCCTGGGTCTCCAGCCTGATGACCTACTCTGCAGATTTTGGACTTGCCAAGTCTCTGTAACTGCATGAGCCAGTTTCTTAAAACAAATTACCTACCTATCTCTATCCATCCATCAACTACCTACCTACCCATCCATCCATCTATACACACATCCTGTTGGTTCTGTTTCTCTGGAGAACCCCAACTAATACAAGGGATGGTCAGAGGTACAGGCACCATGAGACTTTGAAGTTGAGCGAGAAGAAACTTCTAGATCATCCCGTCCAGTGCTTTTGAAACTTTCATGCACATGGACTCCTATGATATTGGTTACCATTCAGGAATGCTCATTCTGTACCAGGCTCTGTTCTGAGCCCTTTATGTGTACATATTATCTCATTTCATCCCCAAAGTAACTCAAGGAGAGAGGTGTGTGATGTGTGTCATTTGAAAGGAGAGGTAACTGAGGCTCAGAGGGGTTATGCGACCTGCCTAAGTTCTCACTTGTAAGCGGTAGAGCTGGGATATGAATTCAGGACACCTGGGCTAAGTACAAAACCACCATCCATTCTGCCTCCTGATACATTTAACTCCCACAACCAGAGCTTTTCTGATTCAAATGGGCAGGGGCTCCAGAGTCTCAGCCCCTCAAGCCTTCCCTTGGATTTCTCCTTTTTCCTACCTTCTCAGGCCCCTAAAGTATCTCCAAAAAAAAAAAATCCAGTTCCTTTGGAGAACAGTTTAGAACCTCTAATCCAGTCCAATCCCTCTTTTAGAGAAAGGGGAAAGTCAGGCCCAGAGAGGTTAAGCTTACACAGCCAGACCGGAGCAAGCCACAACAAGAACCCGGGGTCTTTCCACCCTACCAGGCTGCCTCCAATGATTCCAAAGAGGTCCTCAGACACAGGGCGAAAGCTGTCATTGTCAGTGAAATAACAGAGGAGAACGAGCTCCCTGAAACAAGTTTTCCCCAAATCCAACCAGTAAGGGCTTCTGAGTAGGCTTGTCCCACTGAGAGGTGAATTGTCTTCCCTGGGTACATCCCACTCTGGGGAGGCAGCAGGCACCTCCCCTGCCTTCCAGGCTGGTCAGTGGCATTGAGAAGGGAGGTAGTCTAAAACCAGGCCCACATCCAGGCCCAGATGGCAATCCTTGGGCTCTGGAGCCGGCATTTTGGTCTCTCCTCTCAGCTTTCAGCCTAGCAGAAGGCTAGAGCCCTTTAGCAAGGCCCTAGACTCCCTAAAGCACTGCCCCCAAGGACCTGGGGGAAACCCACCGTTTGACCTGAGGAACTCATAAACATCCCTCCAGACCCAGCCTCCTTCTGCCTTCCCTGATGAAGCCTAACAGGAAAATCTCTGCTAAGTCAGAGACAACCTTTCTCATACACCTCTGTGTCAGCTTGGCCGCATGTTCTGTGATTGTCTGATGGCATGTCTGTCTTCCCAGGTCAGGGGCTGGGTCTCGGCACCAGTACCTGGTACAGCATCCAGCCCAGAGGGCCCTTAGTTCACGACTGCCAGGTGGATGTCCTTGTGTGTGCAGGAGGTGAGGTGGCAACCTACACTGGGAGACTTATCTAGCCTTTACAGACCGCAACAGAGGAGTTTTCCAGGCCCTCCCACTGGCCGGGGCTCAGGGAGCATTCTTGGTCCAGCCCCTTCTCTACAGTTGAGGAAACTGAGTCCTGAGTGGTGACGCGATCTATCTGAGGTCATACGGCCTGTGAGTGGCAGGGCCAGACAGAGTGCCTGGACCGCTAACAAAGGCCTGGGGCCTCTTCTCCTCCCATTGTCTCATCCATCTGTCTCCCCCACAGGGAGCCTCAGTCCAGAACACTGGTATTCATTTTACAGCCACACACAGAACCTCAGTGTTCCTCGCAGTAACCACCCCCCCAGAGACGCAGGACAGGGTTTGTTACTAACCCCACGGTACACAGGAGGAAACAGGCTCAGGGAAGGAAAAGACTGGTGACAGTCTCACAGTGACCTCTCTGCCTGTGTATTAGTCATACTTATGCCCAAATGTCCTGCCACCTTCGTTCTTTGCCTGCATCGTCCATCTCTGAGTCTCCCCGTCCAGAACTAGACCCTAGGTTCCCTGACTCCTTTCCCCATCCCCATCATCGACCCCAACCCCTTCAGCCATAGTACATTAAACAGTGAAATGCGGAAGGCAGGGAGCAGAAGACTGGTCCAAGCTATAGAGCAGGTCAGCCAGAGGGAGACAGGACAAATGCCCCCATTTCTCTAGGTCTAGGAAAGTGCCCTCACTTTCCATGCCTGCACTTGGAGTGCCCTCAGCACTGCAAGGAGACTGAATTCAGAGCCTTGATGTCCCATGCACCCCTCCACACTCATCACCCTCAGCCACTAATCCAGAGAATGACCATGTTGTAACCCCAGACTCGAAGACCAAAAAAGGAACCAGAGAGCACCACAAACCCTTCGGTTTGGGCTTGGTGAACAAAACATGACCTGGGTTTTAGTCCACAATCACCCCCTTAGCCGGGGAACAACCTGTACAACCATAGCTGGTGGCTGTGGATGGATGGGTGGGTGGGTGGATAAGGGGGTCTGTCCATCTCGTGCCACCTTCTGGTTCCAAAACACAGAGAGTTGGCCCACTCCTGTATCTCTCACCAGCAAGCCCAGTGGCTCCAACCCCGTCCCCAGGCCTGGTGACCCCAACCCTCTGCTGAGAATGCACATCGTAGTCTCCTGTAGAGCTGGGAGCCTTCAATCCTCCCTTGCTGGGCCCAGCCCCAGCCCTTCCATGGCCCAGTCCTGACACCTGGTGGTGCCTCTGGGCTGCAGTCCTGGCTTTCTTCCCACTTCTCAATAACTCATTCAGAGCTGCCAAACCAGCCTGGCAGCTCACTGGCCACCTGCCCTCCACTCTGGTTCACACCGGCAGGGCCAGGCTCCGAACCAGGTAAAACCCAGGTCTCACCTTGGCGGCCTTCCCTTCCCACAGGTTCACATCCCCTCCTCAACCCAGGCCTTCAAGCCAGGTCAACTGGGGAACTTAGGACTACAGACTATTACAGAATTTGCAGCCAGAGATGTGCCAAGGTCAGACATTGAGTGCCAGACTTCCTTCTACCCCACCCCTGTTCTGCCTCCTATCAGAGGAGTGCTGGCGGTCTGGGGTGAAGGGAAGGCACACCAGGGAAGGAAGGAAGGAACTGGTGGGAGGTGGAGGGAATGGAGGCTCAGGGGCTAACTTCAGCAGGTTCACCCGGCCGGGTCGGGTGGGGGCGGTGACGCAAGCAAAATGGAAAACACCGCCCCCAGCAATCCCCTCCTGACTCTCCCGGCTCCCACCCTAACCCGACACCGTCCGGCCGGACCTCTTGGGAGGAGGGTGACACCATGCGGCTTACTTTGGTACTGCAAAAGTCCCTGTTGGCCTCCTAAATTCCTTCCGGGCGTCCCAGCTCTTCAGTCAAGGACCATTAACCTCTGCCCTTTGCGCATAGCAGGACGTGCCTAGAATGCCTCCACGTGCACATTCGCACACACTCACACATTCCCATCCACCCACTCCCCCCTCCAACATACTGCTGAAACTCCTTGTCTAGGAGGACTTCCCTCCCCCAGAGGGCACACCCCCGACAACCCCACTCGGACCCAGCCAGCTGTGTGCCTTGGCAAGAGACTTAACCACTCTGAGCCTTGGTTTCCTCATCTGTAAACTGAGGGTGACACTAGCACTTTCCGGAGGCTGCGAGCCCTGCAGGAGATCCATGTGAGTGCTTTCATACTATGTGCTTTCGTGATTGCTCCCTAGGCTCTGATGCCCAGCTTCCCAGCCCCACCGAGACTGGCAGGGAGGGAGGGGAGAGTCCGGGTAGAGCCACGTGAGTGAAGACCCTCGGGGAAGAAGGAGCCCGGCCCGTCTGGCATGTTTGATATACTTGGCGTATTCCAGAACTGAGCGAGGTGCAGCCAGGGTGAGTATGGACTTGGGGGACAGGGCGGATGGGTCAGAGAGCTGGCACGGGGTGGATCCTGCTGGGCCTTGAAGGCACAGGAAGGAGTCAGTGCTTTGTCTTGAGCATAGTGGGGGCTCCCAAACCTTTTCCCAGGGAGCTGACATAACCAGATCTACGTGGAGCCCCTCTCGGAGCTGGTGAGGACGGTGGATTGGAGAGGGCGGGCCAGGAAGCCAAGAGCTGAAGTCAGCCCTCCGGATGACAGGTGCTGCCAGCCTGAATTGGAGAGGCTCAGTGATTCAAACTACACTGGGGGCCCTGGCAATTGATGGGAGGCGGGGTGGACAGGAGAAGGAGGCATCTGGTAGGGCCGCTGGGGGGGGGGGGGGTGTCAGTCACCGTCACTGAGACTGTGCGTGGGGGCCCCCTGCTGATTTTACTGTGTGATCTGGGGCAAGACACTGACCTCTCTGGCAACAGTCACAGCCAAATCCCAGGCCGTGTCAGAAGCACATGAGAACAGTGATTGAAAAAGCCCAGCAGCCGCCAGGCTCTCCCCCAAGTCGGATTCAGAGCCTCTTGCAGTCCTCCCTAGCTTTGGCATCTTCCTCAGTGCCGGGCACACATCCACACACCTCCCCCGCACCGTCCACACACCATCCCCATGAGACACCCCTTCCGCGTGCCTCCTTCATATCATCCACATGCATCCCGGCCATTCGCTCACAAGCCACAGGTCGTGCCCGTGCCACCCACACCTGCCAGGTACCATCCACACACACCCACAAGCTTGCCATCTGGTGTGCGTAGCACCTCTCCCCACAGGAGAACCAGGCACCAGGCTAGGACCCCGAGGACATCTGCCCCGGCCCCAGGCCACCTCGTTCCCATGACAGTGCTCTCCCCACCACCCCCTCCCCCAGAGCCTGGCCAGCTGCTCACCTTTGCAGGTGCAACCCTCCCGGGTGATGGCCTGTCGGCAGATACCACAGGGCTTCACCTTCTTGAAGGTCTTCACCTTGAAGTGGTGAGTCTTGGGGGCCTCCAGATCCTCCGGCTGTGTGGGGGAGAGGCACAGTGATCAGGCCTGGGCAGAAGACCGGGGAAGGAGGCAGAGGGTACTAGGGGACAAGTGGGCAAGGACTGGGGAAAAGGAGAAGTGAGAGCCCCGTCAGGGGTGACAGGGCTGGGCCCATTTCTGGGAGGAGGTGCCCCAGGAAAGAGAAAGCTGAGTGTGACCCAGACTCCCACAATTAGGTGGGTCAGCCTACCGGGACACTGATTTTAAATGGATTGCTCAATACGGTTTTACACGCGCACACCGCACAACCACACCCCGGGAGGCTGTCTCATGGCCGACCCGGTCAATAGCCCCCTAAGGTAAGTACTGTGGCGACTCCTTTCACCAAAGATGCATTTTGCCGGAGCTCTAAGCTTCACTGTGAGGTTTCTGTCACTCGGGATTAATCCTTGGGGTTTATCCACACAGTCGCATGGAGCAGCAGCACCTCATTTTCATCACCGTGTGTGATCACAGCTAATTCCTTTCCCTGTCCGTGTCCCCATGTCACCAATGTGCCACGTCCCTCCATTCTCTCTCACCCCCATCCCTACCACCTCCTGCCCCAGCCCGGGCTTCTTCCATCTTTATTTTTGGTTCTTTGCACTATGAAAATTAACTCTCCTTTTTATTTATTTATTTTTTCACATTTATTTATTTTTGAGAGAGAGAGACAGAGGGTGAGTGGGGAAGGGGCAGAGGGAGAGGGAGACCCAGAATCCGAAGCAGGCTCCAGGCTCTGAGCTGTCAGCACAGAGCCCGACGTGGGGCTCAAACTCATGAACAGCTAGATCATAACCTGAGCTGAAGTCGGATGCTTAACCGAGTGAACCACCCAGGTGCCCCTTTATTTATTTATCTATTTATTTATTATTATTTATTTATTTATTTTTAAGTAGGTTCCACACCCAGCACGGAGCCCAACACAGGGCTTTAACTCACAACCCTGAGATCAAGACCAGAGCTAAAATCAAGAGTTGGATGTTTAACCAACTGAGCCACCCAGGCAGGCGCCCCTTAAACCTCCTTTTTAAAACGACAGCACCACACACATGCGATGAGAGGCAGGCTGACAGTCCAGCCTTCTCCGTGTCCGACTGGCCGTGAGCCCCGAGCCAGTCACCAGCCGCCGCTGCCACAGGCCTCAGTTTCCTGCTCTGGATGGCACGAGGTTGGGCACCACACCCTCAAACTCTGACAGTCTGTCCTTTGTAACCACATATGGGAACACACTCTAAGCCACAAAACCCTGCACCCACACTGCCTAGGACCCCCTCCTCCCATCTGCAGCCCTCAGCCCAGGCCCAGGCTCAGGGAACTTCCCGTGGATGCCCTGGGAAGCCATCCCTGCCCACAGGCGCCATGCCTCTCCAAGGCCCCTCACCCTGGTGTCCAACCTGATGCATTTCCCGGCCTTGGCAGCAGGGGCCGGCAGAACACAGACATCGGCAGCTCCCTCACCCTGCGCAGGGCTCCCTGACACCCCTCTGCACACACATGGCCACACACAGAGACACAACCTATAGCAGACCCTGAAGTCCCAGGGGAGGGTTCTTCTCTTCAGGGTCCCCCTCCTTGTGCCCTGCTCCAGAGCCTCCAAGCACTGACACAGGCGCCAGAGGGGGCGACTTGTGTGTTCAGAGCATCCCGAAAGCTAGCAGGTCCAGGACTCCTCTCTGAAGACACTGCAGTGGTGAGTCCTGGGGGGCAGAGTGAGGCTGAGCCACGAGAGATGCAGAGAGAAAAAAACAGACAAAATGAGAGAGACACAGAAAGCCAGAGAGACAAAGAGGCAGAGAGATAGAGAGGGAAAGAGAGAGACAGAGACAGAAACTCAGAGTCGGAGAGACCGAGAGACAAAGATAAAGACAGAGAAACAGAGAAAGACAGAGAAAGACAACAGAGAGTCAGAGAGGAAGAAGACAGAGATAAGGCAGAGACAAAGGCAGAGATGAACAAGCACACATGGAGAATAAGAGAAATTAGATAGAAACACACAGAGACTGTAAAGGGAACCAGAGAATCAAAGGGGCAGACAGACAAAGGGACACAGGAGCCAGCTTGAATGGGCCCCCAAACTCTAACTCTGGGAAGACTTGAGCATCACAATACAGAACGATAGCAGTGGCCTAAATGAGCCCATGCTGATATGCAAAATACGTGAAAAAATTCACAGTGTGATGAGAAACGGAATACTTACAAATCTCAAAGCACCTCACCACACCACACTTTTATAAATTACAAAGGGAAAAAAGTCACTTTTCCCAGCAGACTCCACGTTAATCAAATGATCAAAGCGAACATCACCAGTAATGGGAAGACTGGAAATCGTGCACCATGGTGGACACACACTGAGAACAGAACATCACTTCTGCCACTTCCCTGCCAAAGAGACACAAGCTGAATCTAATCGTGAAGAAACATCAGGCCAACGCAAATCGAGGCACAGTCTACCAATTAAATGGCTTATAATCATCAAAAGTGACAAGGTCACAAAAGTCAAGGAAAGATGGAGGAGATTTCCAGACTGATGGAGTCTAAAGAGATAATGATTGCCAAAAGCAGTGGCTGATTCTGAACTGGATTTTTCCCATGCCCATAAAGGACATCAGTGGGACAACTGGCCACACTTCGGTGGGGTCTGAGGAGGACACAGTAGTCATGTATTGATGTCAGGTCCCGGACGTTGATGGCTGTGTTGGGTTATGTAGGAGAAAGTCCCTGTAGGAAAATCAGGAAAGCATTTAAGGGTGGCAGGGCATTGTGTCAGCAACTTACTTTCAAATAGCTCAAGGAAAAAGTTCTTTGCACTGTATCTGCAACTATCTCAAGTTTGAGACTGTCTCAAAATTCAAAGAGACAGGCAGCTAGAGATGGCAGGGAGGCAGGATGGGTCAGAGACAAAGCCCAGGGCAGAAGTAGCAAGGGCAGGGGGCAATGGAGCCAGAGTGGTGCCAGAAGCCCAGCAGTGCCCCCTAGTGGCTAAGCCCAGCAGCAGGGCCTGGGTTCTGATACTCCAGCATGCTGGGTCCTAGGAGCTGTGCTTCCAGCTTCTTCTGAGGATGGAGTCAGGACATGAGAGGGCACTGTCCTGCTCTGGACCTCATTCAGTTGTCCCCCAGCCCGCAAGGAGGATAGGTGAGCTCCCTCCATTCTGAGGTCTCACCTCCCCTGTTTTCCCATCTGAGCCCCTGGCTGGCAGCCTTCCAGACAATCTCTGTCATAGACATTCCAGGGAGGGGGCCCAGCCCAATGTCAGACGCAGCAGCACCCCCTGGGCTGGGGGGAGGAGCAGGAAGGGGACCCGGAGTTCAATTTAAGGCCTGTCTGGGGAGGCAGGCAGGAAGCCCTTAAGCCCAGTCTTTTCAGGCCTACTCTAGCCACCCCCTAAACCTGCCTCTCCCACCCCACTGAGTCAAGCAGGGCCCCCCATTCCGATTTATCCCCCAGACTTCTCCACCTACACCCCAAATTCAGCCCTTCCCGCAAAGCCGGCAGAAAGAGACCTTCTCCCCAAAGTACACTTGGAGCAGTGGAATCTCCCAAAAGAGGGTCCTGGCTGCCCAGTGAACAGATGGGGAACAGGCGGAGCCTTCCAGACTGACAAGCAACCGCCCAGACTTCTCCCTTGGGCCCTGGGCTTGCCTGCTCTGCCTGCCCAAACTCATAAATGTGAGTTTACAAAATCTCTCCCCACACAGGCTTGGAGAGCAGGAACAGGGTTTCAGATACACTCGGGGCCTCACTCGCGGCCTCTCTAAGCAGCCTGTGGGCGATGGCCCAGCACACTCCTGCCCCTCACCCCCACCCCATTCTGGCTCCCTGGCTCAAGGAGTGCTGGGATGGGAATCTCTAGGCTGGTGACCTTGAGAACATCAGTGACCTTCTCTGGTTCTCACAGGCCCCAGATAGAAGTGACGGGTTTGGACAAGATCCTCTGAGTATAGACAGAGCAGGGGAAACAATGGGCCCGTTTGAGATGCAGGGATTGGAGGAACGGAGGGCAGGACATGCTCATGGTGACACAGAGAGATGTCTCATGAGATATCACCCCTCTGTGAGAGTCTAGGGAACCCAGGTGGGAGTGAGGAGGCCAGCTTGGCCAACCCCAGGCAAGTGGCTCCAGGCTGTGACCTCCACTTTACAGTATCGGCTCACTGGCTATCCAATGGGTATCTGGCAGTTTTATTGAAAGGGTCACCCACAGAGGTATGAAGATTTCCCAGTTTGCTGGAGGAGAAAGTCTAGGATGGGTGAACCTTATGTCTTCAAATATCTGAAGGAGCTGTCACGATAAGAATGAACCAGACGTGATCTATGAAGTTACTGAAAACAAAACAAAACTCAGTGGGGGGCAGGCAGAAGTCACAAGGACACAAGATTAGACTCAAGGGGGTACGAGAACTTCCCAACGACCACATGTTAAAATCCAGACAAAGAAAAAACATGGGGGTCGGGTACCTTCACTGCCTTCCCCCAGAGTTACTCTGCAGATACAGGCAGAGGATGTGAACGAGCCCGTGAAGTGCAAAACTCTGTGCGGGGGTAACCACTTGTTGTGACAGTGCTCATCATTTTTCCTGACAGGTGGCAGACAGCCTCACAAAGCACTCCCCACCCTTCCTAGCTGGATTAGCTCCTAGAGGGCCTGGGGGAAACTAGGGGGACACAGAAGACACAACAGGAGCTCCCCGATCTCTCCAACACCCACTTCCCTCAAGAGCCAGAGCCCGGAAAAGGGAAGGGGTCCCAGCCCAGAAGTCATACTTCCCCACCCTCAGAGCCCAGAGCCCCCTGCCCCTGTGACAAGCCCACCCAGCATCAGAGAGCTTTCCTGGGCCTCAGGGGGATCCTCTCTTTCCCACCCTCCATTCAGCCAAGCCTGCCTGCCAGATACATCCCAGCCAGAGGGGCGGGGCACATCTGGCTGCGACAGATTTGGCGGGAGTCCTGGGTGGGAAAGGCTGATTGTTGGTTCCTCCCTGCCCCGTGGG